CATGAGTTTATTTTTCTCATGCTACACGACCATTACAGTTTGGCTTTAACACTCGTCTGCATTGTTCTTACTCTGGCACCCAGATGGATTGAGCAGCCACTTTCTGGAAGCTTGCTTGTCCCAGGGAGAGAGGGAAACATAATGGGGAATTAGCAGTTAAAGCCTCTGCCTAGATGTGACACATGTCACTTCAACTCACATTTCATTGCCAGAACAAGATACATGTCCTCACCTAATTCAAAGAAGAAAAATGCCAACTTTGTGCCCAGGAGAAGAATCCAGTGCAGAAAAGAACTGTGCAGGGGGAAAACTAGAGTATTTTCAGATCAGTTCAGTCACTCAGTCGTGTTCGACTCTTTGTGACCCCATGAACTGCACCTCGCCAGGCCTCCCTGTCCATCACCAACTCCCAGAGTTTACTCAAACTCATGTCCATTGATTCGGTGATGCCATCCAACCATCTCATCCTCTGTCATGCCCTTCTTCTCCCGCCTTCAGTCTTTGCCAGTATCAGGGTCTTTTCAAACGAGTCAGTTCTTCGCATCAGGTGGCCAAAGTATTGGAGTTTCAGCTTCAGCATCAGTCCTTCCAGTGAATAGTCAGGACTGATTTCCTTTAGGATGGACTGGTTGGATCTCCTTGCAGTCTCCAACACCACAGTTCGAAAGCATCAATTCTTTGGGGCTCAGCTTTCTTTATAGTCCACCTCTCACATCCATACACGACTACTGGAAAAACCATGGCTTTGACTAGACAGACCTTTGTTGGCAAAATAACATCTCTGCTTTTTAATATGCTGTCTAGGTTGGTCATAAGATTTCTAACAAGGAGCAAGCGTCTTTTAATTTCATGGCTGCAATCACCATCTGCAGTGATTTTGGAGCCCCCCCAAATAAAGTCTGTCACTGTTTCCACAGTTTCCCCATCTATTTGCCATGAAGTGATGGGATCAGATGCCATGATCTTAGTTTTCTGAATGTTGAGCTTTAAGCCAACTTTTTCACTCTCCTCTTTTACTATCATCAAGAAACTCTTTAGTTCTTCTTCACTTTCTGCCATAAGGGTGGTATCATCTGCATATCTGAGGTTATTGATATTTCTTCTGGCAATCTTGATTCCAGCTTGTGCTTCATCCAGCCCAGCATTTCTCATGATGTACTATGCATATAAGTTAAGTAAGCAGGGTGACAATAAACAGCCTTAACGTACTCCTTTTCCAATTTGGAACCAGTCTGTTGTCGCATGTTCAGTTCTAACTGTTTCTTCTTGACCTGCATACAGATTTCTCATGAGGCAGGTCAGGTGGTCTGATATTCCCATCTCTTTCAGAATTTTCCATAGTTTGTGGTGATCCACACAGTCAAAGGCTTTGACATAGTCAAGACAGCAGAAGCAGATGTTTTTCTGGAACTCTCTTGCTTTTTCATTGATCCAACGGATGTTGGCAATTTGATCTCTGCTTCTTCTGCCTTTTCTAAATCCAACTTGAACATCTGGAAGTTCATAGTTCACCTACTGTTGAAGCCCAGCTTGGAGAATTTTGAGTATTACTTTGCTAGCGTGTGAGATGAGTGCAATTGTGCGGTAGTTTGAACATTCTTTGGCATTGCCTTTCTTTGGGATTGGAATGAAAACTGACCTTTTCCCCTCCTGTTGCTACTGAGTTTTCCTAATTTGATGGCATATTGAGTGCAGCACTTTCATAGCATCATCTTTTAGGATTTGAAATAGCTCAACTGGAATTCCATCACCTCCACTTGCTTTGTTCATAGTGATGCTTCCTAAGTCCCACTTGACTTCACATTCCAGGATGTCTAGCTCTAGGTGAGTGATCGCACCATTATGTTTATCTGGGTCGTAAAGATCTTTTTTGTATAGTTCTGTGTATTCTTGCCACCTCTTCTTAATATCTTCTTCTTCTGTTAGGTTCATACCATTTCTTTCCTTTATTGTGCTCATCTTTGCATGAAAACTTCCATTGGTATCTCTGATTTTCTTGAAGAGATCTCTAGTCTTTCCCATTCCTATTGTTTTCCTCTGTTTCTTTGCATTGATCACTGAGGAAGGCATTCTTATCTCTCCTTGCTGTTCTTTAGAACTATGCATTCAAATGGGTATACTTTTTCTTTTCTCCTTGGCCTTTTACTAAAAACTGTCACCTACTGGATTTGTGTTTTTCAAAGAAATAAACACACAAAGAAAAATCCTTTTAGTTTTTCTATTCCATGTTATTTTTAAAAGCCTTCGGTCTTGAGAAATGAGTCTCCTGCAATTATAAGCATAGCAGTCTCTCTTGCTTAAACTCTCAGTGGCATCTCTGCACTCATACAACCTACATACCTAACATGGCCTGCAGACCCTACCTTTCAAGGCTCATCTTGCACCACTCACTCCATACCTCAGCCCTACTGTCTTTCAGTTCCTTGAAGTAGACATGCTTCTACTTCTTTTTTGAGTGTGTTTCCTCCCTTTTCCTTGTTTTTAACCTGCTTACTCTTTAACTGTTGGATCAGTGTATCAAACATTTCCCCACTCTGTGACTTCCATAGTAGATAGAGTCCTCTCTTTTCTACAGTCTCGTAATACTCTGTACTTTGCTTCTAGAGAAACTGTTCTAGTTTTTAAAATCAATTTTTGCACTAATTATTCAGTCTGTTTCTCCAGTTAGCATGCAAGTTCCAAGTCTGTTTTGCTCACTACTGTGGGCTGCTTCTTGTGTTTAGCCTAGTTATTGGCATATAATAGCATAGCATTAAATCCTGAGTTTGATTACAATATTATGTCTGTGACATCTTGTAGTCTATACAGGGAATGTCTGAGACATTTATACAGTCCATAGCAAATGATTTAATAATTTAATCACAGACAAACTGCAAGTATACTCTTGCTCTATGTCTCTATATCTTGGAGAGCCTAAGAGGCTCCAGAGAAGGAATACATTTCACATTCTCTCTGAATTAGAATATACCCTTCTTTAAATTTTCATGTTGCATTTTTCTTTCTTCTCCTTCTTGAGTGATAATTTTATTTATATTATTTTTATAAATATATGTAATTTTATTTATATAAAATTTTATTTTCTAAAAGTATATAGTTTTATTTATATTTACATTTATGAAAACCTTACAGTTAGGGGATATATACATTCAACGTAAATGGTGGTAAGACAGCTCAAGTAATGAGTGTATTATGTAGACATAGTGAATAAAATAAGCTGTGTGATATTTAGCTGGGTTTTCCTTAGCTTTTGAAGATGGCACTCAATTACCAAAACATGGTATGATTTATTTTTTGTGACACTTTCCATCAGCAAAAGGGCATATAATGCATGGAAAATGCTTACCTACAAATTTATATCCCTCACTATTTGTCTTCATTTACATATGTCGTAGTAAACTTTAGTCTTTCCTGTTTCTCTTTTCAGAAAGACTAACACATTTGATCACCTTCTTGTTGATATATTTAATTGTGGACTATCAATGCTATTCTTCATTTAAAATGCAAATGTTCTAATAGAGATATCTCCCATAACGATAAGTGTATCGGTGGGATTGGTAGGATGATATGGACATTGTTATCTGTAAGCCAATTGTTTTCTCCATTTTTACTCTAGAAGACAACCAGGCTTCCTATAAATAAGGAGTAAGATTAGAAGGATCATAAATAGAGCCTATCTGTTTATTCAGCTAATGTTTATGAAATACCTCTTTTGAAGCTGGGGAAACTCAGAAAGAAATGAACACTTTGTATATAGCTTTAAATTTTTGTTTTAAATAACATTTTGATAAGAGCTGAGTTTCAGTCTTCTGCTAACTGTGTCAGTTTTCTCACCTATAGAAAGGATATCCTAGGAACTTCCCTGGTGGTCCAGTGGCTAGGACTCTGAGCTCCCGGTGCAGGGGCCGTGGGTTCAATCCCTGGTCAGGGCACTAGATCCCACATGCCAAAACTAAGACCCAGTTCAGCCAAATAAATTGATTAATTAAAAAAAAAAAGAAAGGATATGCTAACAACCCATCTCATAAAGCTCTGTAAAGAGACAGTAAGATAGTGCATATACAGCCCTTATCCCAGGGCCTGACCTAGAATAAGTACTCAGTATATGTTGCTGGGAATGATTGAGGGCAGAAGGAGAAGAGGGCGTCAGAGGATGAGATGGCTATATGACATCACAGATGCAATGGACATGAACTTGGGCAAGCTTTGGGAGATGGTGAGGGACAGGAAGGCCTGGCATGCTACACTCCATGGGGTCACAAAAAGTTGGACACGACTGGGCGACTAAACAACAACAACATATGTTAGCTATTGTCTACTGTGAGGCTTTGTCCACAGTTAGCCTCCTTTTTTTTTTTTTCACAGTTAGCCTCTTAACCGTGTCTTGTCTTTTGTTGCTTCCTGCTTATTTTTTCCATGTTGACCTCAAAGTAAAATTCTAAAACAGATCTGGCTGTGTATCACTGCCTCTTCAGTGCCATCACTACTGTTTCAAGAATAAAGCCTCAAATACATGAACAGCATTTGGCACCTTACCATCTCTTGGCAACTTACCTTACCACCTCGACCTTTCTACCAAACTAACTTCTGCCTTGTCACCTTTACGGGACTGCAGCCAAAATAGGCCCTGCGAATCAAAATTCACTGCCTTGGCTTGCACCCTTTTCTTCTGCCTAGAATTTCTGCTATAGGCCTCAACCCCCCTTCTTACACTCAACCTGAAGAAACAGTTCTCTGTGGGAAACTCAGAGATCCCTCTTATTCTCCCAAAACAGAATTTTTGATCCCCATCATGTATAATTTTTTAGCACTTATCTCATTACTCGAGTTAATGGCATCTGTCTTGCTCTCCCACTAGCTTGAGTTGCTTGAGAGCAGAGACCATTACTTAGTCATCATAGTATCTCTGAAACCTATTAGGCACACAGTAAAAACTTGTTGAAATAATGGATTGAAATTCGGTTTAATTTTGTTTTGATTTCAATATGTCTTTATTATTCTAGGTTCTGGGCCTTGTCCAAAATATGAGTGTTTTCCAGTGTCCAAAATGTAAACACAAAACTCATATTTTTGGTGCTGATGGTGCAAGGAGACTAGCACGGACCCTTGATCTTGATATTCTGGGTAAGACCACCAGATATTCATGTGCAAAGGAACTAGCATGGTGATGAAGATCATCTCAGAATGACGAAATGCTTTTGGCTTTGTGTTTTGAATTAAGTCAGTATGGTGCACTTCTCTGTGTTACCCTTTCTTTGGCTTTTTGTGATACTTCATTAGTGGAATACATTTTGAATAGGGGGTTTGTCCTGCCAGTTATAACTCTTGCTATAGATGAAAACTGCCCATAACCTGAATTTGCAGAGAAAGTTTTGTGGTTTGAGTACTCTGATTTGAAGTCCACATTTTAAATAATGGTCATCAGTTTGTTTGCTAAGTTGGAAAGACATCTGTTAGTATAAGCAGAAAGTGAAGGTGAAAGTCGCTCAGTGTATGACTCTTTGCGACCACATGGACTGTATACAGCCCATGGAATTCTCCAGGCCAGAATACTCGAGCGGGTAGCTGTTCCCTTCTCCAGGGGATTTTCCCAACCCAGGGATCGAACCCAGGTCTCCTGCATTGCAGGTGGATTCTTTATCAGCTGAGCCACAAGGGAAGCCCAAGAATACTGGAGTGGATGGATAGCCTATCCCTTCTCCAGCAGATTTCCTCGACCCAAAATTGAAATAGGGTCTCCTGCATTGTAGGCAGATTCTTTACCAGCTGAGCAGATGTATACAGAAATACCTGTTTCATATGTTGTGGCAGTCTTTGGATGTGTCAGTTCTTGATGAGCGTGAAGAAATGCCTTCCTGATCAGTTCTGAATATATAAGTCCTCTGCTCTAGAAAAAATGATATTTACTGTTTTCTGTAATCTTTTTATGCCATATCTATGAAGTATGGCACCTGAAACTTACCTTGTCTATACTGTTCATGTTACTGAATTGAAGAATTAATTAGTAATTGAAGGAGAAGTAAAATCATGTGTTAAAGGAGCAAAACACAGATTTTAGATAAACATTTTTTTAAAAAAATCCACAAGCCAACTTAATGGACTTTTTAGGGAACATGTTTTGATATTCTGCATATGAGTTTCTGTTCTGGGTAAAGGCAGATGTTAGGTGCTAAATAATAGAGGCATAGAGTGAATTATCTGTTTTAGGTAGTTAACAATTAAGATTCCTTAGAGATCAAGGAATTAAAAACATTCTTTATTATAATTAGGTTTCTAAAAGTTGATGTTAAATGTATTATTGTTTTTATGCATTTGTACTATAGCAGCTACCACAGTACCAGATGAATACTAATGATATATTTTGATACGTTTTTATAATTAAAGATACTAATTTTATTCTGCAACTGTTTCTCATTTAACTAACCTAGGAAGTTCAGTTTCCCAAATCTGCATAATAACATAGCAGATTGACATTCACTTATATAATAAAGTAAATGTGTAATTATAATGGCATTATTGAATTATGCTGACAGTATTATAATTCCCTAATTTATGAATGGGTGCTATGATTTTATAAGTCAATTATTTAGGATTTGAAACATGTCTCCTAGAGGAACAATCTACATATGGAAGTTACATTTTAACCAACAGCTCACAAATGTATGCATGCATGCTGAGTCTCCTCAGTGGAGTCTGACTCTTTGTGCCCCTATGGACTGTAGCCCACCTATGGACTGTAGCCCACCAGGCTCCTCTGTCCGTGGGATTCTCCAGGTAAGAATACTGGAGTTGCCGTGTTGCCAGTGGCAACTCCAGTATTGGAGCTGCCAATGCTGGAGGGTTGCCATGCCCACCTCCAGGGGATCTTCCCAACCCAGGGATTGAACCTGCATCTCGTATGTCTCCCACATTGGCAGGCGGGTTCTTTACTACTCACACCACCTGGGAAGCCCTGCAAATCAAATGTATAGTTACCCTAAAAATATATCAGAAACACTGACTACTGATCACAGAAACTCGGCTAGTGCTATAGACTGTTGTATCTCAAACTCTTACAGGAAAAATAATTTAGAGTTCTAACGTAGAGCACATCTGCTGCCTTTAATGTGATCGTGGGGCCCAGAGGGCTCTCCCATGAACTGGAACAGGGGCTCTGATGATGAAGAGGCTGGAATTGGGAACAAGGAACTGAAACAGGGAAAGAGCTCTCGCACCTGTGACCTTCTGGCTGGGTGACACTCCCAGTACTCTTATTTGTCCTTTACTGACTCTCTTGCTGTCTCTTCTTTTCATCTAGGGAGCTGTGTTTCAAATGATTATTTGGTAAAATGTCTCTTCAGAATTTTACGCATATTCAGCTTATGGTGGTTTTTGTTAGTGTCTCAGTCATGTCTGACTCTTTGTGACCCTGTGAACTATAGCCCTCCAGGCTCCTCTGTCCGTAGGATTTTCCAGGCAAGAATACTAGAGTGGATTGCTATTTCATTCTTCAGGAGATCTTGCCAACCCAGGGACTGAACCTACTTGGGAGGTGGATTCTTTTTCTTTTTTTTTAATTAACTTATTTTAACTGGAGGATGATTACTTTACAATATTGTGATGGTTTTTGCCACACATCAACATGAATCAGCCACAGGTATACCTGTGTCCCCACAGGCCTGAACCCCCCTCCCTACCTCCCTCCCCACCCTGTCCCTCTGGGCAGGTGGATTCTTTATCACCCAGCCATCTGGGAAGCCCGTGTCCAGCTACAGGGACAGTTTATACTTAGTAATTAAGGTCTCAGATCATGTCACAGAAACCTCTTTAACTTATGTCTCTGAAATGTGCTTCCTCTGGCCCTAACCCTTCAAAAGTACTTTTCAAGGCCAGACTGAACCTCGGCAACTCTCATCACCTTTACCGCATTTTAATTTTCTCAGCTGCTAGTCCCCTGCGGCTCTCACTGTGCCATCTACTTCCTAACAAGGTTTTCCTCTGTCTTGTTCTCCTCTTCTGCGGACTGTGAGTCTCTGGAGGGCAGAAGTGATGTCACTAGCTGACTCATTGGAAAAGACCCTGATGCTGGGAAAGATTGAGGACAGGAGGAAAAGGGGGTGACAGAATGAGATGGTTGGATGGCATCACCGACTCAATGGACTTGCGTTTGAACAAACTCTGGGAGACAGTGAAGGATAGGGAAACCTGGCATGCTGCAGTTCATGGGGTTCAAAGAGTTAGACACGACAAGCACTGAACAACAGTGGACAAGGTGTTCTATATAATGGAGATGATTTTACTTTTTTCTTCTATTACTGTGGTAGATATGAAAGCATTCAGGATTCTTTACTATATACTGGCAGTTCATAAATCAAGAGAAAAAATTGGGGGGTTTCTAAATATTTTCTGTAACATATCTTTCTCTGCTTCCCCCATGACAGCTTCCTATAGTCTGAAGTTGATCTGTAGAATAGACATCCAATTTACTGAAAAACTAGTCTTTACATGGTTACTGAAATATTCATGCATTTTTGTCTATTGAACATTTAGGAAAGAGAGTTGGCTCAGATCTCAAAATATGATGATAAGAGGCACATGAAATAACTGTTGCTCTGTATACTTCATAATATAAATTGTGGTAGGTTTGTAACTTTGTAACACATTCTTCTTCAGCATTGTTTATATCGAATGGCATGGTACTGAATGAATATTTTGTGTAAAACAAACATACATGCATGTTTCAATAACCTTTGCATGGACTTGAAGTGGTTCTAAGAATGCTGAGCAGCATGAAAGTCAACTCTTCTACTCCATTTACTGCATTTTAAATCTCAGCTTTATTTGTGATGGTGTTGTAGAAAGAATCCATTGGATGATGGATCAGAGCATTTTTCCTCTGAATTCTACTACCTAAGGAAAGACACACATAAACAAGTCTGTATATTGGAGGTTCTTATTATTTCCTGAGAGCTCATCAAGTTCACAAGTTATGTATAGTGCTGTATCGATTAATATGTAATAAAAGAAAAATAATTCTATCTGGTAAAGAGGCAGATAGTTGAACTAACAAGTCTGTCCTGCTTTTTAACAGTTCTCTGCTCACCCATCTGCCACTATCAAGAAGATTATTTTGTTGTGCTTTTTAAAAACTACGTTGCCTCTTCATCTTTCCTTTTCATTTTCCTCTTATTTTGTGGCAAGATATACCTATATCAGTTATTGGAGAAAAATTGACAAATATCTTCTAGGTCATTTTTGCTGGAAGACCTCCAGCAAAGAATAAATCAGAGATCTTATTCCTTGATTGACTGCCACACTGCTTTCAAATATAATCATGGTATTACCCTCAAATGGAATATTTTGTCCTTAAGTTTCATTTGAAATCTGTTTTTCAGAAATTTAGCAATTTGAGGATAGTCATAACTCAGGTTGATTTGAATCAATTTGTTTCTGCAGTTCAAAGAATAAAATTTCAAATGCCTGTATAAGCTTTTGTAGTACTAATGGTTATCTGGTGGACTCTTTCAGGAGACATCCCCCTACATCTTAACATAAGGGAAGCCTCAGATACAGGCCAGCCAATTGTGTTTTCACAGCCTGAAAGTGATGAGGTAAGTCATATTTATAAATATTAGTTATATTTATAAATATGTATTTTAATTTCTTTTAGGATATATACTTTTTGATATATAGAAAGAAGGTTGGGGAGATCAAGTTTGTCTATTTGGAATGCATGTATTAACCAAAGATTAGTTAACTTATTCAAAGCTTCTTTAAGTTTCTATAAGGTAGACATACTAGTGCTGATTCTGAATTATCAACTGAACAGGCTCAACTACAAAGAATCATCACCCAACCAGTTTTCTCACGATGAGCATGAACAGTGCGAATTTGTAGAGTTCTTTTCTTGCTAGCTAGCACTATCTAACTGCCTGAAGTTATTTTATTTCAGTGTTAGAAGTTCAGCTGATTGTTGAGAGAAGGAAACCAAATACAAGAAAAAACTGTGTTGGATGTAGGGAAACTGTATAAACATTTAGAGACGGAATTTCCACTGCATTTATTTTAATAAATGTGATTGAGGAGGTGAGGTGAGAAAATTAATAGTGTTTCATTATCTAATATGATTTGGGATACAGATAGAGTTTTCAAAGACTGCTGAAGCTTACTGCCTGTAAGTGTAAACTCTTTTGTTGTTGTTCAGTCACTGAGTTGTGACCAACTCTTCGTGATCCCTTGAACTGCAGTACACCAGGCTTCCCTGTCCTTCACTATCTCTCAGAGTTTGTTGAAATTCATGTCACCGAGTCAGTAATGCTGTCTAACCACCTCATACTCTGCCACCTTCTTCTCCTTTTGCCTTCAATCTTTCAATCATTAGAGTCTCTTCCAGTGAGTTGGCTCTTTGCATCAGGTGGCCAAAGTATGAGTTTCAGCATCAGTCCTTCCAGTGAATAATCAAGGTTGATTTCCTTTAGGATTGACTGGTTTGATCTCCCTGCAGTTCAAGGGGCTTGCAAAAGTCTTCTCCAACACCACAATTCAAAAGCATTAATTCTTTGGTAACTCGCACATCCTTACATAATTACTGGAAAAACCCATAGCTTTGACTATATGGATCTTTGTCAGCAAAGTGATGCCTCTGCTTTTTAATATGCTGTCTAGGTTTGTCATGGCTCTTTTATTTTACTCTTTTTAAAATATAAATAAAATAATATATGTATGATTTTTATTATATATAATAATTTTATTATATATTTATTATATATAATAATATGTAATAAAGTCATATGTATCTCTTCTTTCCTAAGTAGCAGTTGCTGTTTATGTCAGAAAGTAAGCCATCATCTGGTGCATCAGTTTTAATGTAATTCTTATGCTCCTTTGCCAAACAGCCTCAATCAGTCCTCTTAGCGTCTCTCTTTTTTTCCCTTACCAAATAAGTATAGCTTTATCAAACAGTTCAGTTCAGTCGCTCAGGCGTGTCCAGTTGTTTACAACCCAATGAACCACAGCACGCCAGGCTTCCCTGTCCATCACCAACTCCCGGAGTCCACCCAAACCCATGTCCATTGAGTTGGTGATACCATCCAGCCATCTCATCCTCTGTCGTCCCCTTCTCCTCCTGCCCCCAATCCCTCCCAGCATCAGGGTCTTTTCCAGTGAGTCAGCTCTTTGCATAAGGTGGTCAAAGGATTGGAGTTTCAGCTTCATCATCAGTCCTTCCAATGAACACCCAGGACTGATTTCCTTTAGAATGGACTAGTTGAATGTCCTTATAGTCCAAGGGACTCTCAAGAGTCTTCTCCAACACCACAGTTCAAAAGCATCAATTATGCGCTCAGCTTTCTTTATAGTCCAACTCTGACATCCATACATGACCACTGGAAAATCCATAGCCTTGCCTAGGCAGACCTTTGTTGACAAAGTAATGTCTCTGCTTTTTAATATGCTGTCTAGGTTAGTCATAACTTTCCTTCCAAGGAGTAAGCTTCTTTTAATTTCATGGCTGCAGTCACCATCTGTAGTGATTTTGGAGCCCAGAAAAATAAAGTCAGCCACCATTTCCACTGTTTCCCCATCTATTTGCCATGAAGTGATGGGACCAGATGCCATGATCTTAGTTTTCTGAATGTTGAGCTTTAAGCAAACTTTTTCAGTCTCCTTTTTCACTTTCATCAAGAGGCTCTTTAGTTCTTCTTCACTTTCTGCCATAATGGTGGTGTCATCTGCATATCTGAGGTTATTGATATTTCTCCCAGCAATCTTGATTCCAGCTTGTGCTTTTTCCAGCCCAGCATTTCTCATGATGCACAGTACCGTTATTTTGTCCACCCATAACTATCCCACCTTTCATTCTAGTTTGCTTCCTCTAATCCTATATGAACTGAAAGACAAAGGAGTCAGGCTTTGTTAGAACTGTGAATACAACAAGGGCAAAGCTGACAACCAGGAGTCTGAGATTGGTCAAATAGATTCATTTTGAACTATCTCTTTCAGGACCCAGAGCTCCTTTCTCTTTCTTAAGGGTCGACAGTTATGGTACAGGTGATTGAGTTGCTGGGATATGATGTCTGAGTAAATGTACTGTAGTATATATCCTTGTTTTTCCTTTCTCTGCCTCTTATGTAGTAATAAATGTTAAATTTCCTTTTCAGTCTTTTCTTTAAAATCTTTCAGATAAGCAAAAAAATAACCTTTTATTGCTTTTACAACTGAAACATGGCAATCTCATCTACCATAAGTGTACTTTATGTGAATGAAAAGTTGTATGAAAATTGAGGGTTTTTAAAATCACACACTTTTAAATGCCTCCTGAGTGCAGCCTATTTAAAGATATTTAGTGGTGAATCCTTTTCAATAAGGATAATTGTCTAGTAGTTTATTTCAATTATGAATATAGGTTTTAAAATATTTTCCCACCTGTCCATTATTTTTTCCTTTGAGATTCTCCAAAAGCAAAAACATTTCAGAAAGTTAAAGGAATGTAATATAACAGAGAATATATAGCAGCCTTCAAAAAGTAATATGATTTAAAGCTCTAAACAACAGTGTTTGTAGAGTTTTTTGGTTACATGCTTTTTAAATCTCATTTACATTTATGTAAAATTAGATCTATTATTTTACTGTTGCTGGCTGACATTTATGGTAATGTGAGCAAGCTACCCCTTTGTGGTTTAGACTAGATTTAATCTGGTGAAGTCTGCTAAAGCTGGTGAGAATTTCATGCACCGCATTGTCAACCTTACATATGAAGACTTCTGAGCAGCTTTTTAAGATTCAGACATGTCCATAAAAATAGATTTAAAAAATGGAGCTTTGTATTTATTTTGTTTCCATGGAAGTTATTATTTCCTACTCTTAGATTGCAGACATTCATTATTATTAACCATCTTTCTAACAATAATAGCAGTTATAGTATGTTAGACACTGTTAGGCATCTATATACTTTCAATGCTCACAACAACTTAATACAATGTATAAATAGTCCCCATTTTGCAGTTGAGAAAACTGAGACTCATAGAAGCTAAATAATTTTCCCAAGGTCACAGAAGTGATAGATGCCAAGATGTGATTAAAAAACAATTCTTTTCCTTCCAAATGTTGTCCTCTTTTCATTGTGTCACCTTCTGGTGGTTTAGTCGCTCAGTCGTGTCCGACTCTTGCCAACCCATGGACTGTAGCCCGCCAGGCTCCTCTGTGCATGGGATTTTCCAGGCAAGAATACTGGAGTGAATTGCCATTTCCTTCTCTAGTCACCTTCTGAGTCCTCTACTAATAGCTATGGTTTCTTCAATTCCTTCTAAGAAGTGAGTACAGTATTTGAGTGAATAAAATATAATATATTCTCTTAATTTTATTCTCATAACACATTTGTGAGGTATGTATGATAATCTCCATTTTTCAAATGAAGAAGTAGAAATTCATTCGCAGTAAGGAATTTGTCCAAGATAGTACCCGAAGATATTTCCATACTCAGCTCTGAAACTGTAGGCTTACATCTTCTTCCCAAGGGAGTATCTTCTTCCCTTCTCAATTAATTGCAAACTTGCTTCAGTGTCTGTCTATTGTGTATATTTAGGCTGGCTTTCAGTTCACCTCCTTTTCATATTACAGAGATCTAGAGAAGAGGAGTGGTTCCACTGGTGTGCACAGTGGCAGCCATAATACAGAGGATTTTAACCTGGATTTGAGAATCCCCTGAAGTTATATCCAGAATGTGTGAATGTGCATTTTTCTGGGAAATTGAACAAGAGCTTTACTAGATTCTCATAAGGTCTCTGCATGAAAAGCAAAGCATTAATCAGTATTAGCCTGGGGTTTCATTACCTAGAATGCTACTTTCTAAGTGTGACCTTAGGTAAGTTCCCTCATGTCTCTGAACCTTTCTCTCTGTCTGTAAATTAATATCATAATGAGAAGGATTAAATGAGATGATAATGTGAAAATATTTTGAAAAATGCCAAATAGAATACAGCTATGAGTATTTATGTCTTCTGAAATGCCCTGTGAAAGTTGTCATGGTACTAATTGTCTTTCTTCTGCCCTTCATCAAAGGGTTGAGCCCATTTATACCCTTCCCCTTACATAGCTTCAGGTAAATGTCACTCTTTGGTGACATCTAAAAATCAGCAGAATTTGAATCATAAGATGAGGATAGAGTTCTCAGCCTCAGCATTTAAGATTTTATGTCCTAGACTTTAGGAAACTGTTGTTGAGTCCTGGAATCAGGATCCTTCTGATGACTTTTATGGTGAATCTTACCTTCTAATAATCCCCTTCCCTTTCCCCCTGTGAACTTAAATGGAAATCTGCTCTCAGTAACTGGTCACAGCCATCTCAACAGATTCTGCCATATGCATGGAAGCTTAGTGCCCATTCTACCTGACTGTCTTCATTTAAAGAATGAAGGAAGTGTTTACTTGCAAACATGATAAACTTCTATAAAAATCAATGGGATGGAATATGTCAAATTATTTGTTAATCGTTAGCTCTTTAGATTGACATTTTTCATTGTTAGCTTTTAGGGGTTTGCTACAGGCAAATTTATTAATAAATAAAAGTTTCATCTTTAGCTTTTTGTCTTCTTTCTAATTCCTCCTTCTTTTGT